TCTAGCAGTATTAAATTTTTCTATGAATGTCTTGCTTCCTCACTTCCTCTGCTTCTTTATTTTTTTCGCGTCTTAGTGTATGAAAAAATTCCATTCAGACTTTGTATGCAGGGATGACATGAATAACTGAGTTTTTCTTTCTTCTCTTGTGTGGAATAGGCCAATCTAGTCAAGCAGGAGAGCCTTTTGGACGTTGCCAATGCAGAACTTGAAAAAGCACAGGCTGAGCTGGATGCCAAGCAGGCGGAGCTGGATGTGGTGCGAGCAGAGTATGAGAAGGCCGTGATGGAGAAACAGGTCTAGATATTATTTACCTCTTTATTACATGATGCATTCATTAACAAAAAAATGTTTGAAAATGAAAGTGCATAAAAAATTACAACTTGATTTTGTTACTGGTATATTGCAAAAATAAGACCTTGTTGATGGTTTTTGTTTTAATTGGCCTATATGTGACAAACTACAACTAAAACTATTATCTCATTCCAAAGTGGGAGAAAAACCCATGTCCTTTGTCTTTCCTCTTTAATTTCTCACCTGCAGACATCTGACATCTTTTGAATATATTGCGTTACTAGACAGTCATGGTGGTGGCAGCATAATGCTGAGTGAATTATTTTTCCACAATAAGGACAGCTAATATATCATAATTGATGAGAAAATACATGGAGATGAATCCAGGGTAATTTGGTTTTGATCTGATACGCCTTAATCACATGTAAACAAATTGAGTCCTGCTGAACAGTTAAGCCTGAATCCACTTAGGTAGCATGAACTTGTGTGGTACAGCTGTATTTGAGCTAAGTTAGGCCAAACACCAAGATTCTTCAGATATGAAAAACATATTCCACATATTTACCACCTAATATTAATTATACAGTTCGAACTGCCTGAGCTTTTTTTTTTTTTATCAAGTTCGATAGATAGTTTGAACTTTTGTGAAGCATTAAACTTTAGCTTAATATCTAATTTGCAAAGTAAAGATACATACATAAGGAAAATTAAGCAAACCTGCGTTGTCAAGACAACAACAGGCTTCTGAGGCCATTCATAACTAGGATTTGCGTCATGGCAACCCGCAGAACAACACTACCTGACACTTACTTTTTGAATATGCTGTGTGGCGTCTATGTTTTTGTTGCAAGTACATAAACTAAAAATGATATACTGCACAAAAATTGTCTTTTTGAATGCAGCTTGAAGAGTGTAATTAGCTTTGAGTTGAATAAAGAATGATTCAGTCAGATTTACCCAATGGCCTGCTTTGCGCATTTACATCATTAGAACTCTTTGTTCTGAGGTAGATTACATGCAAACAGAAAAGTGTGTGCATCAAGACTTCCTGATTAGGAAAACTGGATTGCAAGAACCGACTTGTATCGCATAGGGATGTTTTCTCTCCTGTAGGTCCAGCAGGGAGATTTAATGCAGATTAAAATGGCTCAGACACTCAGACGCAGTTTTGTTTTATGTTCTACTAATTCAATCTCCATTGATGTGTAATTGCTGCTTCTCTGTAAACAGTGTCATTAAAGGCTTTAAGCAGCAAATAAAAACATTGTGTTAAATAGTTCAACAAATGCTTCTATAAAGATGTGGTTATTTTTCATAATTGACATTTGATTTAGGCATTTAAATTCAATAAAAGAATCACTAGTTTTTAAATGTACATCATGGACTGCAGTTAACATTTGCAGGAATAACCCATCATGCACTAGATGCTTGTTTTACTGCTAAAATAGACAGGCAACACTCTCTTTATTTTTTATTATTTAGACAGACAACAGATAGAGCTAACATAAGAATCCTTATTTTTTGT